CCTGGCTACAACTGTCTGGAGCTTTTTGAATCTTGGAAGTATCGTTTTGTCATGGTGGCATGTGCTTGCGCATTAAAGTTGAAAATAGAATAACAGGAGTCATAGCCGCTAAAGTGGGATGCTAGCTAATTTCTTCAAAATTCTGGTTCGGTTAATCTTTTTTTACAACACGGAATATCCTGTGCTGCGTTCGTCATGCCATTACTGACTGTGGTCTTTTCTCCTCGAGCACCGCAGGGTTTAGTTTATGAGGAAACGTAGAGAAGTAATTCAGCGGACCAAACATTGCAACTGTTTGCATGCCTCGTTTGACGTTATTTTTTAAATATCCTTTGTGGAAATTATTTTTGGTTTGAAAGAATAAATTCATTTTAGGTTCAAAACGAAGCGCTGGTTACTTTCAACGGTGTTGCTTAATGATAAAGGTATTTGTCCACATTGTCGATACAATCTAAAGCCATTAGAAGCTAGTGAAACGGGTGTAGAAGAGCTTAAAATGGCGTTATTCAACAAAGTACTTTGCAAGGATAATGTTTATCGCAACTCGTCTCCAGCCGAGATTAACCTATACGTGCGGTTCGTCTATGCCTGAACATTTCTACTGCCGTTTCCTCATATTCGTGTCTTACTTTTTAGGTTTCTGCGGATGCACCGAACTTTCAAGGTGGTGATCGACGGCTTGAACGTCGCCTTTCTTGGCCGCAGCAATACGTCGTTAGATCTGAGTCAAAGGGTGCGCACCGCGGCTCTCGAATTTCGTACTGTTTTTTTTACTAACTTCCTGTTTTAGCTGGTAGTATTCACCGAAAATCTGGTCGAAAGCCACAACTTCACCAGGAAGGACGTGCTGGTTGTCGTGCGTCAGCACCTTCTGAAAATTCCGCTACTGGCCGGAAGGCTGATGACCGTTGCCTCAACGTTTGCCCTGAAAAATCAGTAAGTCATGCGTTAGTCTGATTTGAGCTGTGTCTGATATGCGACAGTAATTAATGATCGTATCTGCTAGTGAAAGTTGCATAATGCTTTTTAAGGTAGTTCAGTCCAGGTGAAGGATACTTGACCAGAATGCCAACACCGGCCTGAGTAAAGATCGCATAGTCGAAACCTGAGTAAGAAAGCTTCCACCCTCAGGCGTTCAGAATTCCAGACCCTGTTGTTTCGTTTGCAAGAGTCAAGATATGTCGAGTCGGTTCCAGACGGCTCCAACAACTAATTTCTACTTTTCATTCTTAATTAAGTGATGTTTCAATTTCAGTTTCCGGCTGTGAGATCCCACTGTAGATATCGTTCCCTTTGAACTTTATTCGATATGTCGCAATGACATCACGCTGTCTACTTCCGCAGTACGGGGATTGTCTCTGCTGTTAAGCGACTTCATCTGGTAGAGTTTCGGTTACAGGTTCCAAACAGGTTCCGAACACCGACCTTATCAGTTGTTCCTCAGATACCCAACAGCCTGCGCGACCCTTGGTTACCCTAGCGAAGACCAGGTCTTAGAAATTTCGATACCGTCAATATGATGAAGAGCAGGCAGCCATATTTTAGGGAAGACTTTGTCATGATCCCCAGCCGTCATCCTTTCTCATCCTGGCCATGTGAGCAAACGCGAGTTCGTTTATGAAAAATTCAGTAGCTAATTTATGTAGTACGGCTATGTGCCATGTCGATATCTTTCCTTGTGTGCTGTTACATTGTGTTGATCAATTTCACTTGCTATATCATTTTCTTCTTTACTGGACTGTTTTTCGAAGTAATAAGTCTTTGATTTAGGAGCGTTGACGATCCTTTCATCCTCTGTGCATGCCTGAACTCTGGGCCGCACTGTAAGTTGATCAGCAACGATATGATGGGTGCTCATAGAGCCAGTCTCGGTGCCGACCTTCAAATGAAATTTGCACATTGGCAACGGTTGAATCAGCAGTTCGCCAGAGGACAACCGGGAAACTCTGCCTTTTCAGTTTTGGTAAGCGATTTATTGTTCGTTGTATAATGCATTGCCATTATGGTACTTCAGACAAGCATGGTGATTTCCAGAGAAATAAGCATTCTTATCGTAACTTGCCCCCTTATTTTTCGTATAATAGAAGTTTTTCATGTTCTTGCTGGAGTCACTGTATCAAACAGAAAATACAGGTTTCAAATGCCGCCCATAATAAAGGGGCGCTGGTCGTTAGCCCAATGATTCTAATACTGATGAGAGCGACTCTTTCGATCTTGAATGAGTAGAACAGAAAATTTCGTCTTTTATAGCAATATTCGCCCTATCAGACCCCAGGTAATGTGTTCTAGTAAATATGTTCATCCAATTTTAAAATTCTAGGGACCAAAGACGTGGAAATTCGGAACACAAGAGCATGAACAAGGATTTCATTTTGCGTTTCGGAAGAAAGTAGGCTTCAGTGAACCCCCGGCACCGATAGAACATATGTGTGTCATTGCTGCATAGCGCTGTTATATTTTTATGCCGTACCTTGTTCATTTTAAGTAAAACTTTACTCTATATCTCTAAAACCTCATTCCTCGGCAGACATCGGTTTATGACAGTTGAATGTTTCTTCTAAACTTCTTTTCTGAGAGGAAAATGGGTTTGCTGTGCTAAACGGTGTTCTTCAGCGTGCAGTTAATGGAGAACGAAGATTCGGCTGATAACAAGGAAGCGACAACAATCCGCGAAAATGATCTTGTTCAGGTGCCTGCCGAATTCTCCGAGAACGTCCGTTCCGCCCTGCGGTCGGTACTGCTCGAAGACGACCCATTTACGCAGCCAGGCTTCTCCGTAACTGACTACATAAATCAGTTGTTCCCGACAGAACAGAGTCTGAGTAAGCTGTTTCTTATCATGATAAGTTATTTCAAGTTCCTGAAGCCGTATATCAAACACTGATCACACCTTATCCTTCTTGTTCAGGAATCTTTATCTTTTGTCCAGAATGTACACAGCAAGTTGAAGAAATTTCTTCATGTTTTCTTCAGAAACTAATTCAGCTGAACTTTCAGTCCTACTTATGTGGTTGAGAGCGTATAATTTTTTTATAGGCAGAATTACCTTAAAATGCATGTGGATTTCAGTCAACTCCGTTTACCGGAGCATCGCGTTAAGCACGCATTTCAGGGTTCATTAAAGGCCTTGTTGAAGTTAAAGCGGTTTTGGAGGATTAAATTGACCATATTTGGTCGAGATTCGGTTTGTGACAAATTTCACAACGTTTGGTTTCCGTGATATGTTCGAACACTGAACATACAAGTTATCTTTAATAGTACACATAATTCATTTAAATAATTTGCAGCTGTTAAAGTAATAGATTCTGCAAAAATTTGTTTTTCGAACGAAAAATGCACAAGGCAAAGTAACCACCAAGTGCGATCGAGTTTTTATAGTCCTTTGTGCCCCACATTAGGGTCCTACGTTATCCGGTGATTTACGGCTTTGGACCTGGCATGACGGAATTCCGAAATTGTCGCAATTTGAGAGCCAAAACTATTTTTATTGAAGGGGACAGCCAGGTTTATTCGAAACCCAGCTCTTTTTGTGATTACCTTGAATAAACTTTTCAACAAATAACATTTATAATGAGCAACAAAATTTGGATGCAGTGGATACTGTCAGCAAATGAGTTTTGTTTTGGCGGAAATTTTCCAAAATTGACGAACTGCTCATCGAGTTACAAGCTTGTTT